CCCCCCCCCCTCCCTCTCCATCCGCCTCTCCCACCATGTTCTTCGATCTGCTCAACGTCAAGGACGACCCCAATGCCGAGGTCGTCCCCTTGACGTACCGGCCGCGCGACGAGCTGCCCGCCACCGCCGAGACCCCGGTGACCACGGACCACGAGCAGTTCGACTTCCGGCACTCCGGTGTCCTGCGGCGGGACATCATGTCCTCGCGGCTGGAGTCCTTCCAGCAGGATGAGGACCAGTCTGGCGGATTCAACGAGCACCGTTCCCCCTGGCAGGGGGTGGTCCTGTTCCAGTACTTCCGGCCGACCATGTTCGCGGTCTTCGCGGTGGGCTGCGTCTATGCGGCCGTCCGGTCGGCGGACATCCGCAAGGCGGCGCGTCTCTTCAACTTCCGTGCGCACCTCTACAACCTCAAGTCCCTGACCGACACGGAGGAGCTCATCAAGCCCAACAACTGGTTCGAGAAGACCATGAATCGCGAGGAGGCCCTCAACATCATGAACATCGAGTGCGTGCATTTTGTCTTGGTGCCTGTGTGGCTGCGCTTGACGTTGCTTCCTGCCGGCCGCCTTTCATCTGACTCCTTCCCTCTCTCTCTCTCCTTGGGTCTATTTTCTTTCTCTCTCTCTCTCTCTCTCTCTGTTCTTGACTATGTTTTCTCCCTCTCTTTCTTTCTTTCTCTCTTTCTCTCTCTCTCTCTCTCTCTGTTCTTGACTATGTTTTCTCCCTCTCTTTCTCTCTTTCTCTCTTTCTCTCTCTCTCTCTCTCTCTGTTCTTGACTATGTTTTCTCCCTCTCTTTCTCTCTTTCTCTCTTCCTCTCTCCCCCTCTCCCTCTCTCCTTTTCTTCCTCTCTTCCTCTCTTCCTCTCTTCCTCTCTTCCTCTCTCCCCCTCTCCCCCTCTCCCCCTCCCTCCTTCCTTCCCCCTTCTCTCCCCTTCTTCTCGTTCTGTTTCTCCCCATCTTTCCCCCACCCTGTCCCATTCTTTGGGATGCTGTGCCGCGCTTTGATGCCCCGCCTCGACTCGGCATATCCTGCTATGCTCTGCTTCATGTCTGGCTTCATGTCTGCCCTGCCCGGTTCTCGCCATCTCGCAGGGGCCGTTACACCCTGAGCGACCTGAACGCCATCCACCGGAAGCTCATCACCCAGAACCATCCGGATCGCGGTGGCTCGGAGTTCCTGTGTAACAAGATCAATGAGGCGCGCGACCTGCTTGAGCGGACCATGCCCGAGCAGTGAGCATACCTCGGTGTCGCGCCCGGCCACCCTCTTGCCTCTCGCGCTCCCCTTCCTTCCCCCTTTCCCCTCCTTCTCTGGGTGGTTTGTCTGCCATGTTTATTCGTGCCTGCCCTCCCCTCTTCAGATCCCCTCCTCCCTTTCCTCTGTGATTGTCGCGCACTGCCCCGGGTCTTGGCCCACACGCCCGTTCGGACAGCTAGATGCACGCGAATGTTCGCTGCTCCTCGCCCTCCTTACCCACACTGTCTGTGCGCCCGTGTTCGCCACTCTCCCCCCCGCCCCCCCCCCCCCCCACCCCCAGCAATCCAATCCAATACATATGAATCCATATACGCCTTCGGCCTTTCTGTCCCCCCTCCTGGTCCATTTCAACGTGTCGGCACATGCACAGCCATGCATCGACACCAGTACACACGGACACATGGCCACACAGCCGCAAGAGAGGCCCCCCCCCCCCCCCCCCTAGAAGGCCGCACAGCCACACACACCCGCACGCACTTCCTGATCTATGTCTATGGGGGAGGGGGGATGCCACGCACCACCGGGCAACCGTGCCCCGGTCACCGGCCCGCGAAGTGCGAAATGAGCCCGCAGTAGTGCAGCAGCGAGGGCAGCAGGGTCAGCTGCTCGAGGATGCGCGCTTGGTGGCCGGGCATCGCCGAGATCGGAGGCCCCACGCCGGCCACCTGGTAGGCGGCGTCCGCACGCAGAGCCGCATCCAGGACGGCTACCGCGCGCCAGGACAGCCCGAGGACCGGCTCCCAGAGGGTGCTGCGCAGGGGATGCTCCGCCGGCAGAACCCGATTGGCCAGCTGGGCCGACAGGGCTGCCGGGCCGGCCCCGCCGGTGGCCGGCGTCAGCCACGGCCCGGTGGCCACCAGCCGACCCCCGGCCAAGTCCGCGTGCGGGGCCCGGAGCTGCAAGTTCGAGGAAAGCACGCGCCAGCTGGCCCCGCCAAGGGGGCCCCCCTGGCGGCCATCGCCTCCGGGCCCGGCGGCGGCCACCGTATCCAGGACACACTGGCTCGAGGGCCAATGGCGCTGGCGCTCGGGCTGGGCCGCCCGCGCCGGCGCCAGCAGCGGCCCCGGGTCGGCCTTGGGCGGCGTGTGGCGCAAAATGGTCGGCAGGCCCGCGCCAACCGGCGGGTCGGCCGTGCGCGAGGGCAACAGCCGGTCCCAAAGCCGGTGCGGCCCTGGGCCGGGGCCGGTGGCACTGGTGGTGGGGTGCGAATGGTCGGCCGGGCCCGGGGAGGCGCGACATGCCCCCTCGGGCCCGGAGGAGGACGTCCCATCCCCGGCCAGCAGGCCAACCGGCGTCGGGAAGGGGATCAGCACCGGCGGCAGCGGCGGCAGGTGCAGCCGGTCGCCATCGGCCGAGGGGGATGCGGAGCCCAGGTGCCCGGGCTCGGTGGCGGCGTCGGCCGGGCTGGCGGCCGGGCTGGCGGCCAGGCCGGCGGCCAGGCGTCCCGGATCCGGATGCGCCAGCCAGGGGGAATGGGGCGCGCCCGGCGAGCAGGCCCCAGGCCCGGGCGGAACGGCCACCGCCCCCGGGGCCCGGGCCGCGAACAGGTCATCCAGCCAGGCCCCATCGGTGGCCGGGCGCAGGCCGAAGGGTTGAAAGAGCCCCCCGGCCAGGGGGGCCACCTCGCCACGAACGAGGTCCCCGGGGGCCGGGAGCCGGCGCCCGGCCGGGCTACTTGTGGCCCCGGTCAGCTGGTCGTAATCCAGCAGCCAATAGAAGTCCGGCCGGATGGCCTCGGCCACCAGACGCCCGGCGGCCTGGGCGATGTGGGCCTCCGGGGCGCCGGTCCCGGAGGCCGGCAGCAGGACCGTCGGGACGCCGGCCCGGGAGAGCTGGCCACGGAAGGCCCGGACAGAGGGGCCCTGGTCGGCGTCGCCGGTGCCCGGCAGGATGGCCAGCCCCAGGAGGAAGCGCTGCTCGAGCCCGGCCGACCGGGGCACCGAGTCCAGCTCGGCAGCCAGGGCACCCGTGCGGGCGGCCGTCTGGAAGGCGAGCAGGTGCTCCAGCAGCTCGGCCGACAGGGCATCCGCCGAGATGAACCCCACGAACAGGTGGAGGAAGGGGGCTGCCGGGGTGCCGGCCCAGGTCACGCTGGCCGGGGCCCACCGCTGGAGCAGGTCCACCGGGCAGGTGGCCGGGCCGCCGGCCGCCAGGCCGGAGATCGGGCAGTGCGGATGCAGGGGCAGGTCCGCCGGTGACAGGCGCACCCGGCCTCGGGCCGGGCAGGCTTCCGGCCGGCCGCCGGTCGCAGCCGGCGCCGTGGTGCCCGGAGCCCCGGTGGCCGGGGCGCCATGGCGCACGATCACCAGGCCCATGCCCAGCAGCAGGACCAGGCCCAGGGCCAGGGCGAGGGTGGCGCTGCGGCGCCGGGCCCGGGGCCGAGGCCGGGCCCGCGCGCCGGACGCCCGCCTACCGGCCGGCTGTCCGGCCTCCGGGTCGTCCGTATGCGCATATGGGCCCGACACCAGGGGCCAGGCTGCCGGGTTGCTGGCCGCCATGGGACGCGGCACGGGGACGGCGGTGCGGTTCGGCGGCGGCGGCGGCAGCGACCACAAGGTACGAGAGTCGGGGGGGGGGAGAAAGGGGAGGAGGGCAGAGGGCCCGAGGGCGCGGGACACGGGGCGGTGCAAAATCGGCCCCCGGGAGGGCAGGAGCAAAGGGACGAGGGAGAGGGGAGGAGGGGGGGGGGGGGAGGCGTGTACCGGCGCGGCCTGGATCCGCCCGCCCCCCCGGTGCAGATCGCTTTCAATGATGGTCAGCTCCGGGCGCCGGCGCCGGCCGGGAGCCGGGGTGACTTGCGCCGGGGCCGGCGAGTTCGTTGGCACCAGGGCCCCTGGCGCACCGGCGCCCGTCCCCGTCCGCCGGCATGCCCTGACAGATCCGGGCTGAAGGGCTGCCTGGGTGGGTGTGCGGCCGGGCGACCTTGCCCGGCGGGGGGCGGTCAGCAGTGTCCTCCTTGCCGCCGTGCGCGCGTCCTCATGCCTTCCTCCCCCGATCGCGGGTCTGTCCCTCCTCTTTTTTTTCCTTTCTTTCTCTCTCTCCCCTCTCGCGGCTGGCTCGCTTGTGTGAGTGTCTCCCGTGTGCCGTTCCGCCGGCTCCATCCTCCTCCGCTCGCTCCATCCTCCTCCCTGCCCTTTCCTTCTCCTCCTCCTCTTCTCTCTCTCTCTCTCTCGCTGCTCCTCTCCAGCCACTACGAGCCTCGCCCGAGCAGCCATGCCTCGCGTCGACGAGATCCTGGCCCTGCTGGACCCGGTGGCCACAAGCGTCGTCGAGTATGCGGTTGGCGTGCGCGATGGCACGCACATGGTCCCGGCCGTCGAGGACTTCCCCCTGTCTGGCAGGCCGCGCCCGGGGGCCGGCACCGAGGGGGCCCGTGAAAACCTTCCTCCCGGCCCGGCCGGGGTGGCGGCCCTGCAGCAGGTCCTCGGCGCCCTGGAGGACGCCTTCGCCGGGCTGGACGCGGCGGTGGGCGCGCTGGTTGATGGCGGCGGCGGCGGCGGCGGCGGCGGCGGCGCCCGGCCCACGCCGGCCCCGATCGCCCGGCCCCCGGCTCCCGGGGCCGAGCCGGGTCCCCTCTTCCAGGACATCAGCACCGGCCAGCCGCATCCCCTGCCGCTGGACTTGACATCGGCCCCGGCGCAGGTGGTCATCGAGCAGGCGATGGCGGCGCCCGGAGGGCCGGTGGGCGGGCCGGCCCCGGGGCCCGACCGGCCGCCGGGGCCCGTCAGTGCCGGGGTGTCCCTGCGTCGGGGATTTCTCCTGGGCCTAGTGGGGCTGCTGGCCGGGACGGACGTGTTCGCCGGGCTGGCCCCGGCGGCCGGGCGCCTGATGCGTCTGCTCCTGGGCCAGGTGCCCGGGCTGGAGGCCGACCGGCTTGGCCTGGATGCCGTGTGCCACCTGCTGGACCGGGTGTCGCTGGCCGGGTGTGCCGGGGCCGGCCCCGGTGGGGGGGCCATGTTCGCGCAGCGCCTGGCGCGGGCTTGTGTCCGTGAGTTGCGCTCGGCCGAGTGCAGTCCGAAGATGGACCGGTTTGGGGCGCGCTGCGCGCTGGCCCTGCGAGCGCTGGCCGTCTGTCTGAGCCACCTGGCCGGCAGGACGCCGGAGGCCGATGCGCTGCGTGTCCTGGGCGAGGCGTCGCGCTGCCTGGCGCGCGTCTTCCAGCGCTCCTTCGACCGGGGCGCGCGCGACTGGGAGCAGGTGAATGCGGCGCGCACGCGGCATGAGCGCCAGCTGGCCGACCGGCCGGCGGCCTCGGCCACCGGGGCCCCGAGTGCCTATTGTGTGGCACAGGCCGGGGCCGGGGCCGGGGCCGGGGCCGGGCCGGGCCCCGCCGCGCCGGCGACACACTGCCCGAAGCGCGCCTTCCTGCTCTTCCAGCTGTTCCACGCGTCGGTGCCGGTGGCGGTGGCCTGCCTGTCGCTGGCGGTCGGCCTGGCCGAGGGGGACCCCCAGGGGCTCGGGGCGGCCGGGGCCCCGGTCACCGGGCTGGCCATCGGCACGGGGCTCCTGCATGCCGGGGCGCTGTCCCGGCCGGCCGCATGCCGGGCCTTCGCCGAGCTCCGCATCGACTGGGCCTTCAAGCCGACCCCCTTCGAGGGCCCGGCGCATCTGGCCAAGCGCCATGCCGGGGCCCTGCTGTCGCGGCTGGCCGCCGGGACGCTGCTCCTGCTGCCGGCCGGGGTGGCCCCTTGGGCCGCGGATGCGGCCTTGCCCCCGGGCCCCTTGAGCCCGGGCCCCGGCAGCGGCATCGAGCGTGGGCTGCCGGCGGCCGGGATCCTGCCCACCGGGCTGGCGGCCGACTGTCCGGCGGTGTCCGGCCCCGGTGGCGGCCGGCTGCCGCCCCCCCTGCCCGGGCTGGGGGCTCTGCTGCATGCGGCCGGCCGGACGGGGCTCCTGGCCGGCGGGGAGATCCTGACCGCGGTGGCCCTGCTGGAATGCCGGCGAGTGCGCTTCGACCGGCTGGACGCCGGGGTGGCCGGCATGCAGCATCCGGAAATGCCCCCGCCGCCGGCGTCCTCGGGTCCCCCCTCTCCCGGGGCCGAGGACTTCGACTTCGAGGCCCTCCTGCAGGCGGACAAGGCCGAGCACCTGTGCTACGACGTGTTTGACCCGTATGACCGGGGGGTTCCGTCGCTGGATTTCGAGCCGGACTTCGGCGGCCCGGAGGATGCTCTCCAGGTGGTGGACTTCTCCTTCGATCCGGAAAATGAGCCGGACCGTCCGGCCGAGGGTGACCCGGCGTGGCCGCGTGAGGGCCGATCGGTGGCCGATACCCTGGCCACGCTGGGCATGGCGCCGTCCGAGCTGCTGGAGCAGCACACCGCCTCGCGGGCGCGGGCCCCGCCGCAGGTCCACCCCCTGGGCGTGGGGCTGTGGGCCCTGCTGGGCAGCCTGCCCCTGGCCTGGCCGCTGGACGCGGGGCGCCCCTGCGAGCAGGCCTGTTGCCCGGCCACCGCGCCGGCCGTCCTGCCCTGCCTGCCGACGCCGCTGCACTCGAGCCAGCGCCTGCTCCTGCTGGTGCCGGCCGCCTTTGCCCTCTTGGACAGGTGTGTTTCCCCCCCCGCCCCCTCGCTCCTCCCCCTTTTCCTTGTCCTCCTGGCCCTTTGTCCGGCAGCCAGGGCCCACCCCCCGGAGGGGGGGGGGAGGCCTCCCTTGGCGCATGATGTGCATGTACATGCGCCCAGAAACACATGCGCATGCCCACCGGCCACTGACACACCCCGGCCCCGCCTGGCACCGAAGTCCGGTGGCCCAGGCCAATGTCTATGGGCGGACCTTGCTGGAGTTCGCATCGGCCGGGTGCCTGGCCGCATGCCGGTCCGGCCGGCCGACCCCCCGGCCCCCGGGTTTGCCGTTTGTCCAGCCGGCGCTGGCGCGGGCCTCCGCCACAGGCAGCCCCTTCACCATCACCCGCGAAAGTCGCCTGGTCAGCGAGTACCTCCGGCTGTCGGCCACGGCGTCGGAGGGGCCCGATGCCGGCGGCCCCCACCGGCTGGCCCACTTCCACCAGCAGCTGCTCGGGCCGCTGTGCGAGTCGATCATCTCCCTGGCCTCCTTCGGGTCGCCGAGCTACGCCTTCTCCGCGGCCGCCTGGGACCTGGGCCTGGTGCGCGTGCTGGGCCTGGCCGAGGGGCCGGCCCGGCGGCGTGCGCTGCTGGACCTGGCCGCGCGGTGCCCCTTCCCGACGTCAAAGGGTACGCCCGGAGCCCGGGGTCACTTCCCCCCCCCCCCTCTCTGTTCATGTTGCCCGGCACGAGTGTGTGGCACCTCCTTGTTCTTCCTCCCCTTTTCTGACCCCCCCCCCCCCCCATGCTGCCACCGGTTCCCGTGAAAGGCGCCCTGCTGCTGCTGTACAAGGACTTCGACCGGCTGAGCCTCTCTTCATCGCTGGCGGTGCGTGGCGCCGTGCTGCCCCCTCCCCCCCTCTTCTTCCCGGGCTCCCTCGCGCCCTTTTCCCCATCGGTTGCCGCCATTCCCCTGACGTATGTCGCCGTTGCTCCCCCGGCCAGACGGACCGCGCCTTCGGGGCGGGGTCCTTCGACGCCCTGGCCGGCGTGGTGGACTCCCTGGTGCGGGACAAAATCAACCCGCCGAAGCAGCCCCGCGCCGGCGGGCCGGACCCGGCCCAGCCCCTTTCCGTTCGAGCCCTGCTGGACAATCGGGACGTCCTGTCTGCCTTGCTGGCCATCCTGCAGTTTGGCCTCCGGTCCGGATTGTATGGCTCTGATTCCGAGGTGCGTCCAGCCGGCCCTTTTGGTTGTCGCCAGCGGCATGCTCGGCCCCGGCCGATGCGCTCCTTCCGCCCGCCCTTCGGGTGGCATCTCGCCGCCCTGCATTCGCCCGCTCACCCCTTCACCTGGGATTGCCTCGGGATGGGCGCGCGACCGAAGTCGGCCAATCGGCCGGCCGTCATCCGACACAAGGTCCTCGATCCGCTTCGGGACCTGGTCGACCGCGTCCGCCGGGACCACGATATGTACTCGCGCTTGGCTCGGTCCTCGGCAGCCCCAAGCAGCGGGGTCAATCTCGACCCGCAGGTGCGCGCTGCCTCCCCCCCCCCCCCCC